ACACACACAGCCGTCCTGTTTCTTTGTCTTATCTGGTCGGATCATGGACGCCCGGCTGCTCTGCAGCACTCTGACCCTGCTGCTGTCCGTCACACGAGGTGAGCTGATTTACGCACGTTGTCTTAATGTGCCAGGATGTGATGTCATTTCTGTGCTTTAATACAGACAGAAGCATCCTCAGATTCTTTCAGAGAAACAGCAGAACTTTAGAAAAGTGATGAGAAGCTTAAAAATGAGCCAAATGTATAATAAGTGTGCTTTATTTGCCATTTGTGCGTCTGTTGTGTCTCTGAATCACATCAGTGCTTCACAAACCCAAACTTGTATTTGTAATGACCACCAGGGGGCGACTGCTCCGGTTCTAAGAGGTCTGATTACAGGTCTGTGAGTCATCTGACGGTTTTTGTTTTCAGGTCTTAAGTAAAATAATGATGTTAGATTATTGTGACAAAGGAGGTAAAGCACAATGATCCAGTGATTCAGGTTTAAGGAAAAGCTGCAGGGAGCTTTTGTATCCTTGTTTCCAGACGGTGAGTGGGCGTGGTCACGACTCTGCACACTCATAGCCAGTCGCCATGAATCATTGTGCTGTTGGTCATTTTGCTAACAGCATTACAGAGTTCAGGGACTCCAACAGCTCACTGAGCACTGATGCCCTGCTGCAGCTACAGCACCAGCTAGTGGTAGGTGGCTGCATAACAGCTGCACTTAGCCTCTCAGGTGACATCAGCAAACAATGAAGTTTAAGCTTCTTCTGTGGTTGTCCAGCAACAACAGCAACATTATACTTATAACAGATTTTTACTTGAACTACTGTTTTTCCCATCAGCCCTCAGCTCTGCAGAAGACGGCTGGTTTGTGAAGGTTCAGCCGGAGGTACGAGGCATCGAGGGCTACCCGGTGGTGCTGCCGTGCACCTTCGGCCATCCGCAGCACTCCCAGCATTCCTCCCTGCAGGTCGTGTGGCGTCTGGGCCACGGGCAGGGAGCCACCGTCCTGTACCGCTGCACCAGCCGGTCCGGAGCCCCCACCTGTGAGCCGGGGCCGAAGCAGGACCAGCGCTATCGGCTGGAGGGAAACCCGCGGGAGCACGACCTGTCGCTGCGCATCAGTAACACCATCCTGCAGGATAATGGACGCTACTACTGCCGAGTGGAGGTTCAAGGACGAGAACACATCAGCTTCGAGGACAAGATGGGGACCAGACTGAGAGTGGAAGGTACCGCCCAAATACTCTGCCCACAGCTGACCCAGAAACAGTCCAGCACTTGTTCTTCAGCTTGGTGTAGTGAAGCTTTGTGAAACACAGTCAGCTGATTTTAAGGGTGGATTTTCTATTACAACAGTTAGCTCGCAGCTAGAACCTTTAATCTAGTAGGATTAAGATGCATGAAGGCTTCCACAGCATCTGACTCCTCTTCCTCCTCCTCCAGCTCCTCCAAAGATCCTGGGCCTGTCGGTGGAGGGCACTGAGCAGTCCGGGTACAGAGCGCTGTGTCGGGTCCAGGGCTCCCCGCTGCCGGACGTCCAGTGGCTCGGCCCGGACGACCTGCTGGAGGGCTCTCTGCTCAGGCCGCTGGCTCAGGGCTCCACCGGCCACTACCACACCGTCAGCCAGCTGAGAGACGTGGAGCCAGGCCAACAGTACACCTGCAGCGCCTCCAACCCACTGGGTAAAGAGCAGGCCACCCTGTATGTCCTGCCCCCCCAGCCCCCTCTCTCTCTGGCCGGGGCTTCACCTCCTCTCCTGCTCCTCCTGTCATTGTCTCTGGGGGCAAAAGTCCTCCTGCTGGTGGGGATGGGGGTGTGGATGGTGCAGGGCGGAGCTCTGCAGGGGCTCAGCTGCTGGAGGAAATGACTGATGCCAGTCATATAATCATGGTAAAACTATATGTAATCATTGAGTTAGAACAGTATGATCTAGAAGCTGATCAAACATAAACATGTCTTCATGCTGATGAGACAAATGCATGCCTCGCTGCTGAGGTCATAAACGTAAAAAGGTCTGTGTATAATTCCTGCTTCGAGCTGATTGGGTGAACATGACGCTGAGGAGTCCTCAGCTTCACATCATCACGGATCATAAGCGCCTTACAGATCTGTGCCATGGAGCAAAAATGGGTGTGGTGTGCCTCAAAAAGTGGCGGCTGAGAGACTTATTTGCTCATCATTAGCCACATTTGATGTGCATTTACTGAAAGTTTCTTTATTTAAGCAATAAAACCCACTAGAATTAAGTAGAATGAGAATTGTTTGCTTTGTTTTTGCTTTAATTACCAAATGATTTCAGGTTTTTACAGGAAACTTGAGGAAATAAAGTCTGAAACAACTGATGAATAAAGATGCACATCATCTGCAAACTTAATATTTGTTGAAATTTGCTCATTAATGTTGTTGTTGGACATTAAATCCATTTAACAGTAAAGTTACTGAAGTCTTTAAATTGTTAGCCTGACAATAAAGAACATTTAGAGTTTAAAGGTGTAAAGATGTGAATCGTTTTGGACGTTTCTGTACTGGGAACAAATAAAAGACACCAGCGTCCAGTTTGTCACAGCAAAACAGATTTATTGATGTGTCACTGAGTCCATGATTGACTGGAATAATCGTTTTTACAATAAAACTGGTGCATAGATGATTCTGACCAATCAGACTGCAGATTCAACAGTTCAACATGCAAACTCTGCTGACTTCAAACCGGTAAATAATATAAAGCATCAGGATGACGAGGTTACCTGTAAACTTACATTCAGCTCGGTTTAGGACTCCTTAAAGAATAAAATCGCACTTGAATTTACATCTTCAGTTATTATAGAAAAGTATTCTATCAGCAGCTGATCGTTTATCCCAGAAACCGTAATCTAAGAGCAAACAGTAAATACGAGTTAGCATCACTCTGCTGAAGCTTCTGCAGAGCCGATTACTACAAACACACGAAGCTCAAACACTTTAAATAGTGACAAATAACAGCTCACTCTCCTCAGATTACAATCAAACAGGAAACCAGTGATGCTGCCTACTGGTTCCCAACGATCGTAACATTTCCCAGTCAGATCAGCAGGAACATCCTCTGCAAAGTGAAACTTTCTTAAATGCTCAGTTACACATTTGCTTCGGTTTTCAGGACTAAGATGCTGCTGGTTGCTGTTCAGGTGTCTCACCAAGCAGAGCGTGAGACCCTCAGACTAAACTAGAGTACATGTTTTTCTTCTACAGAGCCATAAAATGTGACTGGCAGCTACAGCATGCTTATACGTGAACAGGATGTGTAGTGAAACTAACGACAGTGCAGAGCTCCAGAGCTCCTGTCCTATATGGGGAAGAGCTCCGGCTCCTTGTAGCAGATATAATGAGCATCCATGCAGCAGTCGTCGTCGCTCCACTCAAAGCCCGTGCCGTTTCCCAGACTCATGATGGTGCACTGGCCTTCCTCCACCCCACCGGGCTCGCCGTCACCCCAGGTGGTGCTGTTGACGCTGTCTCCGTTCACCCAGAACCACTCCCCGTTCAGCGAGCTGCGCCGCATGCCGATCCACACCTCTTGTACAGTGTTGTTAGTTAAAGACCTGTTCTGGTAAAGTTTGCCATAGATCTGTTTCTGGAGGTCGGCGCTTGACAGGCAGAGCAGCTCTAGTTTGCGATCAGCGCAGGTTTTAAAAGATTCACGCCAGTCGCTGGGTTGTTCTTCCAAGTCTAGAACCTCGGGGGTCACGGCGCAGCCCCTGAAATCTGTTTGGGAAGAGGAAGAAGAAAAGGCTGAAATCAGAGGTTTCACAAGACTAAACATTAAAGCAAACGTCCGAGGCGTAAAGTTTAGGGTGCAGTCGTTCACATTTATTGGAAGGAAGCAGCTAAAGAGTCGACGCTTGCTTTTTCCCTGGGCTCCTGTTTGCTCTCATCGGGTTCTTTCTTTAAATCTGTTCTAGTTTGTATTTCAGTTGTTGTTGTTATCGCAGCTCCATCACTGCTCTGTGCGTCTGACGTTTGTGTTTCCATTCTTGAGTCCCATTTCTCCCACTTATATAAATCAAAGTTTAGCTTCAAAGGTAAACATTTCTGGATTCTTTATTTATTTCTGCTTTATTTTGCTGATCATGGCTCACATGTGTGAGCTGCAGCGGCGATCGTGGCTCAAGAGTTGGCAGTTTGGAAGGTTGCCGGTTTGAGCCCGGCTCGGACAGTCTCGGTCGTTGTGTCCTTGGGCAAGACACTTCACCCGTTGCCTACTGGTGGTGGTCAGAGGGCCCGGTGGCGCCAGTGTCCGGCAGCCTCGCCTCTGTCAGTGCGCCCCAGGGTGGCTGTGGCTACATTGTAGCTGCCATCACCAGTGTGTGAATGTGTGTGTGGATGATTGTGTAAAGTGCTTTGGGGTCCTTAGGGACTAGTAAAGCGCTTTACAAATGCAGGCCATTTTCACCATTTATCCTTCTAGTTCAGGCCTCACAACCGTGAGGAACACTCCTGTCCAGACGAAGATCGCCGACAGGCTCCACGGGGAGGGTGGAGTCAGGCTGGCTGTACTGACAGTGCAGCATATTAATGGAAGGTAAACGGGAATGACGCCTGCAGCTCTACAAAACGTGGGAGATCTTCCTGTGGAGTGCACCGAGGCTGGTGTCCGAGCATCAGGAGCCACCTCACGCTCCTACTATCAAAGCACTCCTGAACCCACGACAGCATCAGAGACATCTTATCTGGACTAAAGAGGGAAAGAACGGGACTGTTGCTCTGTCCAAGTTCTCTTGGAAATGAAAGGCAGCATCAGGCTCCCGGACTCTTGACGAGCAGACACTTAGATGCTTGAGTCTGCGGTCGGTGATGATTCGGGGCCGTGTGCCATCTGCTGACGAACTTTAAGGACTTAGCACCTGCCCACAGCTCACCTGACCTGACACCCCACAGCAAATCAGTGGGAGAGGCCAAACATCTGACCCACCAATCCAAGCTGAAGGCCTGTAAGCAGCTGTGCTTCAGTGAGACCTCAGCAGGACAAGCTGAGCGCTCAGGTGAGCACGCTTCAGAGGCTGGACGTTTCTGTACTGAGAGTCCTGCGACTGATCTCGTCTGATTTTAGTGACGTAAGCATCACAATAAAAAGTCTGCATTAAATTACAAACCAAACTTTTTTCATGATCTTTGTTTTTTTAGATGCACGGGTACATATGACGTGTCCTGCACACAGTGGATATTATCACTAACTGTGGAAATCAGCAGCAGTTCCTCACCTGGGCTTGAACTGACGACAGGTGCCTGGTTCCCAAACAAAGTGCTTCCATTGTTCCCGCTAAAGTAGACGGCCATTTTGGAGGAAGTGTGCCAGATGACAGTTTCACCCAAACTCAGAGGAACTTGTATCGAGCTGTAATTAGTCCCCTCCAGTTTCGTCCAGTCTGCACTTGATATGTGGTTATTTCCAACACGAACCCCGTCGGTGACGTTACTGCTGACCACGATCACGGCGTAGTTCTTGGAGATCGTGGATAATGCTGTGACCACAAAGCAGCAGGCAAAGTTTGCTGTTGGGATCAGAGGGAGGAGTAATCCCGGCCGGTAGAGGATGGCTGTGCCGGCTACATCATACGTCGGTGAGCTTGAGGTGTAGGGCGTGACGCTGGTGGAATCGTTCTGTGCCAAAAGTACCATCGTCTCTCCCGCGGCATCCTGGGCCAGAAATGGAGGAACTAAGTACTTCAGCGTCCTGCCTGGGGCTGGCGGCAGAATGGCGTACAGCAGCCCGCAGCTGCAGTAGCGCTGGACGGCGCAGGGGTGGCCAAAGAGGACGGCCACTGGCTTTTCAGCCGTCACGTTTTTAAACCCTGCACTCTCATTCAACCAGATCTGAGCAACCTGGCCTGACTGGAGGGAAACTTCTTGCGTCTTTAATCCTCCGACGTTCACGTTGTTTTGCTGCTGAACACCGTTGACGATGATGATTCTGAACGGGCCTCGCTCCGTCACCGTCTGCACAACTAAGTCCTGATAATTGTTTGTGCCGGGAATTGTGGGTATTGGTGGGATGAGGTACGTTGTGCCGAGTTTGTCTGTAGGTATGACGACAGCGGTCTGCAGACTGTCTTCTTTACGGCTGATGGCTTGAACGGTGATATCTTTGTTGCTGTCAATGGTCAGAGTTTTGTTGGAGATGTTTTGCTTCCCGAGTTCCAGCTTTGCATTCACGGTGAAATTCCAAACATCTCCAGCATCCAGGACCCGTTGCTTGAAAATGTCGTACTCTTGAACTCGGACTGTTGTCTCGTTTTTCAAAGCAGTGATTATGACCATGTTTGTGGGCGGGCCGGGGTAGTAGCTGGCGATGTTCTCCGGAAACACAACGGTAAAGTTTTGGCCAACGGTGTCGTAAGGCACAGGGCCCGTGGACTCTGGTGAAAGAAAACACAGCAGCTGTTTAATGAGGAAGAAACAGAACCGTCTTTGTCCTTCCTTTCTACCACATTTTCAGGAATTCTGGTGAAAATTATTCCAAATAAAAAGAGAATTCTGGATGATTCAGCAGAAATACTCTGAAAATCAAAAACCCTGCCTGATTTAAATTTGGCTTGATCTATCCCAGCATCCTCGTCTGTCACACCAACCCTCTGCATCACCTCTTTCCTCCTGCCTGCAGCTCCATCTTTATCCTCCACCCTCAAACCACCTCGTCCCTCTGACTCATTTCTGATCCTGTCCTTCCCGCTCATGAACATCGAGCCCGTGTCTTTGTCATCGTGCTACGACGTTTGTCCATGCATCACAGCCGGTCTCACTGACTCACAGAATAAACTGTGCAGGTGATCGAGTGGGTAAATGTAAATGACATCAAGAACATGTAAAAACACGGACAAAAGATCACAGATTGCAGACTGTATATTAAAGATGGCCTTTGACACCTTTTGGCCATCACCATTTTTGTTTTTACACCACAGCTGATTATCATATTGAACAGCAGCTAAGCTTGAAAACTTCAGTCAGGTGATCATTTCTATAGCAACAAGCAGACTACAGGCTGAACGCATCGCCGCCTCAGAGGAAGTGTCCATGCCCCTGAAACAGAGCCCTTCACTTCATTGGCTGGTTTGAGAGCAGGTGGGTGGAGCTTCTGTTTATTTTCATAAAGACCAAAGAGCAGAAAAGCTGAAGGCTAACAGGGATGACGTTACACTGACACCCTGCTTTTAAGCCGTGTTGAAGCTCGAGCGACACGTTTAAGCCGAGCACAGAAACTCAGGTACACTCGATCAGCTGAGCAGGAATAGAAAAGCCCCCCCCCTGTTGTTATGAAGACGCAGCATCTGCAGCCCTTTTCCCCTTTACCTGCCCGGGTTGACTGCTTTTCCTTTGCAACCCACCACGACCGTGTGTACATGCTTGTCGTCATAGAAACATGTCTGCGACGTCATTATTATGTGACACAAACACTACAGCAAAGGTGGAGGTCGAAGCGAACGTAAGCCCGCCGCTCGGTCTGTGGCTTCCCTCACACTCGTTGTTTGTTAGCCATTTCCTTCGTTCCCGAGTTTCATAAATGGCGGTTTTGATTTTGGTGAACGAGATGCTACCGACCAGCCAATCGGTGGCGTGCAGTCTGACGACGTCACATTTTAGTACGTGTTTGGATGGCTTGGAGCCCCGGCTGAGCAGGTGCTGAAATAGTACCGGGTACTATGACCTAATGGGAAACCCTGGAAACCGGGGCGAGTGGATCCGAGGAGGTACTAATGCAGGGGTGGGCAACTCCAGGCCCCGAGGGCCGGTGTCCCTGCAGGTTTTAGATGTGACCTTGAACCAACACAGCTGATTTCAACGGCTAAATTAGCTCCTCAACATGTCTTCAGTTCTCCAGAGGCTGGTAGTGAACTAATCATGTGATTCAGGTGTGTTGACCCAAGGTGAGATCTCAAACCTGCAGGACCCCGGCGCTCGGGGCCTGGAGTTGCCCACCCCTGTACTAATGGAAAAGCTTATGTTTCACATCGGGCTGTAAACGTGTTTATTTCTGATGCTCATGTTAACAGTGGCATCTACGCTGAAGCCTCTGGTGGACAGAAGGGGAACTGCAGGTTCACAGTTGGATTATCAGTGTTTCAGATCAAACTGTAAGCATGCAGATTATACTGGAGAATAAAGTGATGGGTTCCAACAAGCTGCAGTTTGTTAGTAGAGATGGGTTAATGACAATAATGTCAAGATTAAATGTCAGTAATGAATGTTCGGTTTGAGTTTTGAGTTCTTATTATAATTTGGATCCTAAAGCTCTTTTGCAGTGAGCAGGTGGGAGGAGTGATACTCTTCATACAGTCTGTAATATTTCACATGTAGCATCTATGACCCCAAACTGCAGGTGACCCAAAAGAAGCCCAGGTGTGCTGATCGTCGGGTTTACCTGAGCTCCTCGCTCCCAGCAGCAGCAGGAGGACCAAAGGATACATGATGGAGGAAAAACACCAACGTCTCCCTGCGACGTACAAAGACACGTAAAGAAACAAAGGATCACATGAGGTTAATGTCCTGCTGCTGCTTAACTTTGAGTTCAAAATCATCTGAGATATGACGTCACATTTACCTCAGTTTATCATCAAGTTACAGACGTGGCTTTGTGTGCGTTTGATATGAAGCTTCTGTCGACACAAAGGAAAAATATCAGGAAACACTGAAAAACTGCAAACACAAATTCATCTGATGTTCCAGAGTCGCGTTCAGATTGTCTGAGTGGTTTTCAAACTCAAACACGTTTAATGCTTAAATAATAAATCAGAAAATAGATCACATGCAATAAAGTCAAATATTTTAAAAGTACAAAAACATTTTATCAAAATACAAATGTATGAAAAAGAAAACTGGGCCGAGCTAATGTTCAATCAAATCTGAAGAAGCTGAACAAACATTGAGCGTGAAACAACAAACGGCTCTGTGATCGATCGAGCTGCAAACGGGTCAAAATCAGAATTTGTGCCTTTGAGGAGAAACCCGAGTCTTACCTGCCGGTCTGCGGTCAGCGGCTGACTGTGGGGAGTTTTCCACAGTCACCTTCTTTCCTGTCCTTCAGGTATGGAAACGATCATTTGTGAGTCAAACTCGCAGTGATTTGGAAGACATTTGCATGCCATGCACATCAGTGCAGGTGTGGCTGGGGCCTCGCGACTGTGCGAGCTCCTGCAGCTAAAAGCACCAAATCGATCTGTCAGAGCTTCGATTCATCTGTGATCCTGTCGTCACATCTGAAATGTCTCATCTTGTACTTGGTGTGGTCGTTCGGACAGACAGGAGAGAAGCCGTCAGCTGTTAAACCTGGATGATATTTCCTGTGGAGAAACGTCCAACCACGAACTGACCTCGGCTTCAGTCGGCGTGCACATTAAACACGTGCTTTCCTCTGATCAGCTGATGACAATAATCAATCAATCAAAATGTATTTATATAGCACATTTTAAAGACCGAAGTACACCAAAGTGCTTTCCAGTAAAAGCATGATACAGATAAAAAATCACAATATAAAATATAAATTACAGATATAAATAAAATATAAAATAATTACATAATCTAAGTGCAGAGCCAGATGTAAATTACCCTAATTAGCCCTGAATGGCAGGTTAAACAAATACGTTTTTAGGCGGATTTAAAAGACTGAATGGAATCTGATGCACGAATATGAAGAGGAAGAGTATCCCATAAGCTGGGTGCAGCAACGGCAAAGGCTCCTCTGGTCTTCAGCCGAGACCAGGTTGCACTAAGAGCAGCTGGCCCGATGATCTCAGTGCTCTCTGAGGGCTACAGACAGAGATCAGTAGTCAGGTGCCATATTGTTTAGGGTTTTATAAGTAAACAATAAAATGTTAATAGGAAGCCAGTGTAAGTTGGCCAGAACAGGAGTGATGGAGTCGTACTTTCTAGTGCCGGTCAAGAGACGTGCTGCGGCATTTTGGACCAGCTGCAAACGCTGAAGAAGAGAAGACTGGAGGC